GAATCAGAAGAGAGAGTGTGCGGGCAAGTGGGGGCCACTGTCAGCCTGGGGTCCCAGGCTCGTCCTCACATAGGTTCTTGGGATCCACACTCCGGGCACAGGGGGGGCTGGGAAGAGGGGTCCTGGGCAGTAGCTCACTTCTGTCACCGTGTCCCCCGCAGGTCCCTGCTCAGCAGCACCCGCTTCCTGCTCCTGGTCTTCCTGGAGGTGCCCCTGCTCCTGAGCATGCTCGGTGCCGTCCTGTGGGTGAACCGGCCTCAGCGGAGCTCTGTGGGAGGGGGAGGGAGGCAGAGTCAGCCTCGCTCTGAGGACCAATAACCAGTAGCTCCCATGTTCATCGATGTCATGTCTGAAAGTAAGAAACTCTAACGGAAGAAAGACTATTTTATTGTGAAATGATGGTGGTCAGCAGGGACCGTGGCTCTAGAGGCAGCCTGGGCCCTGCCTCAGGGACAGGACCCTAATCCCTGGGACCCCACAGCTGTGATGCCTGGGCCTCTGCCGCCCCTCTTCTGTGCACAACCCCTGGTCTTCCCTGTCCTGAGGCCCCACTGAGCCGGAAATACGAACAGAAGTGCAGGAAGAGGCCTTTCGCCTGGGGCCCAAGTCCTTGCGGGGCATTTCCAACCTCAAGCCTGTGAGCCACCTGCCAGGGTCCTGGGCTGATTTCTGCGTCTCATGTCCCCTGAGGTTTAGGGCTCCCGCCAATCCCAGGTTTCACAATTCTTGACCCGTGAATAGAAAAACCGAACCCTGCACCGACGACACACCAACCACGAGTGAAGACCTCATGCACGGGGAACAGAAGCTTCTGGAATCCTTGCCCTGCTGCGTTTTTGTCACGTGCCGGGAAGGAAGCTCTGGTGCCAGCTCCATCCCTTGCCTCCTGCACGTCTGACGCTGAACTTGGCATCACAGCCCCTCATTGTCCCCATCACCCTTCCTGTTAGGATGCGTAAATGTTCTCACTTCTTTTGAGAGCATCCGGTGTGGCTGCCAGTCTCATTCTGGCGTCACAGGGAGATGCCCACGTATTTTGGGGACTGTGACGTGAACCATCGGTCGAACTGTGGAGCCTGGACCGGCCTAGCAGCTGGGAGCTTTCAAGAGCCGGATCTGGATCGCTCCCATCAGGATGGGAGCCTTCCTGGCTGTCAACTGTGGAGGAGGGACGAGGACACCAGGATGCTGCTGCTTCGGAAAGGCAAAAAGATTCTTCCTCTCTGGCTCCTCCCTGGACTTGAACTTCTGGCAGCTTCAAGATTGAAAAGGGGCCCTAACCTGTTTGGCTCAGTGGATAGAGCGTCAGCCTGTGGACTGAAAGGTCCCAGGTTCGATTCCGGTCAAGGGCATGTACCTTGGTTGCTGGCACATCCCCAGTAGTGGGTGGGCAGGAGGCAACTGATCGATGTTTCTCTCTCATCTATGTTTCTAACTGTCTATCCCTCTCCCTTGCTCTCTGTAATAAATCAATAAAGTATATATTTTTTAAAAAAGATTGAAAAGGGAGGCCACTAGTGCAAAGGGCAGAAGAAACAGCATGAGCCAGGCCAGGAGGGACGGTGTGGGACATGGCCAGGGGAGGTCTCGTCTGCAAGGGACCCTGCTCATCCCGCTGGGGCCAACTTGCCTCACCAGGTTGCCCTGGGCACTGTGCTTGGGCCCTGAGACCCGCCATGAGCATCCTTTTGTTTTTAAATCCTCCCCCGAGGATATTTTTCCATTGATTTTTAGAGAGAGTGGAAGAGAGAGGGAAAGACAGAGAGAAACATCGATGTGAGAGAAGCACATCAACTGGTTGCCTCCTGCATGAGTCCCAACCAGGGCCCCGGGCTGGGGAGGAGCCTGCAATCAAGGTACATGCCCTTTGACAGGAATCGAACCTGGGACCCTTTGGTCCACAGGCCGACGCTCTATCCACTGAGCCAAACTGGCTGGGGCATGAGCATCTTATTTTTAACAGCACATTTAAGCTACCGTGGACTGTGCTGTACACGTGAGGACTTTGGCATCTTGCCCTTTGCCCACCCTCCCCTTCCCAGTACTGATTTTGCTGGTATCGTACTTTTTGCATGGATGATATTTATATTCCCTTCTGTAAATATTTCCCATGGTCGTTTCGTCTTTTTTTCCCTATTTTTAAATATATTCCCTGATCACCGTAGCTTCTTTTTTCTTCATTATTTGATTTATTTCTTGGTTGGCACAATTTCATCACGATGTTGTTTTTCTATTTTCCAGGGGCTCGCGGGTGCTGTATTTCATAAGCGCTTGTGCGCATGGGAGTGTTCGTTGCCAAAAGCAACGATCCCGGGTAGACAATTCCCAGAGGGTCCCGTCTTTTCTGGGAACGTGTAGATTTTCCTTCACGTCCCCTGGGATGCCGTGCTGTGGTGACATCTGATGCCAGCCTCTCCCCTTCATATTCATAACTTACTCCCTCTGACCTGGGTCTTCTCTGATATGGGCCCATGCGATTCTGTCTTTGTCCTGGAGGCTCTGTAACTTCAGAAGGTTCTAGGTGTGGGTCATTAGGACCCCCCCCCCCAACTGGGACACTGTGTGGATTTTCAGTTGCAGATGGAAGGGTTTCTTTATTTCAGGATCATTTTAAATTAAATTCGATCATTTTCACTTGTGGCTTATTTTTCTTTTTCTTAAGGAGCATTTGTGGAATGTCCTTCCTCTGTCTCCTGTACCTGTGTCTGCCTCTCCAAACATTTTTATATCGTGAGTGTTTAAACTTCACTGTTGGGCCCTGGCAGGTGTGGCTCCGTGGGTGGGCATCACCCCGTGCACCGAAAAGTTGCTGGTTCCATGCACAGACAATGCACAGACCCGAAACCCAGCTGTTTTATATACAGGAATTTATCCCACAGGCACATTCACGAATGCATATCAAGCCACATATGCAAAGACAGTCATTAAGGAATTGCATGTAGTTACAAAGAGCTGAAAACAACTCAAGTGTCCATCAAGAGGGAAAGAATGAAACAAATCGTAATATGCAGATATCATGGAATACTATGCAGACATTGAAAACAAAAGTCTACAGGCGGCCCTAGCCGGTTTAGCTAAGTGGATAGAGCATGGGCCTGCGGACTGAAGGGTCCTGGGTTCGATTCCAGTCAAGGGCACATGCCTGGATTGCGGGCTTGATCCCCAGTAGGGGACGTGCAAGAGGCAGCCAATCAATGATTCTCTCTCATCATTGATGTTTCTATCTCTCTCTCCCTTTCCCTTCCTCTCTGAAATCAATAAAAATATTTTTTTTTAAAAATAGTCTACAGGTATTGATATAGGGTGATTTTGAAAATACAGTATGTTAAAATAGGCAAGCCACAGACAACACCTGTAAGGTGTTACTTTTCCCTGAGGAGGGGAAAGACCGAGCACGCACGCACACACACACACACACACACACACACACACACACACACAGAATTTCTTCAAAGGACACACAGACACACAGGATAACCTACCGCCAACTGCACCCAGACCGGGTGAGCTGGGAAGGAGGGAGCGAGTCTGAATCCTGAATTGAGAGCAATCACGTGACTCACGGAGGGTCACAGCTAAAAATCACTTTTGGGGGCGTCCTTTTCTTTTAAGGTCACGTTGAAAAGAAAGTAAGTTTACCTAAGATGTCACAAAAAGTGGTGAAAAAATGGCAGAATATGGCCTGGGCCCTTGAAGTTGGTTGGGCGTCATCTCGTGTACCGAAAGGTTGCTGGTTCGATTCCCGGTCAGGGTACATGCCCAGGCTGCAGGTTTGCTCCCCAGTTGGGGCACATGCAGGAGGCAGCCGATCAATATTTCTCTCTCTCCCTTTCTCTCTCACAATCAATTAAAAAACAACCACACAGAATACGGATGTGAATTTTTGTACCTTTTCATGTTCTGGAGCCCTAAGGTTTACATTGGGGGGGCAGTCCAGCATAAGTAGACAGAAGCCAGTGGCCTGAAGAAGCCGCTGCTTCTAGCACAGTGCTTCTCCCTGGCTCTGCCGGCAATGTGAGATTGCTCAACACGTTGTGCGGGAAGCCGCCCCACATGGGAGGGTGCGCGCGCCCACACAAGGGCACACACAAAACCACAGAAAATATGAAGCTTCCTCAGCAAAAACTGAACAAGAATTTTTATTTTTACCGAGACGCCCAATTAAGAGAAGTTGTTTGACAACAGAACCCCCGAACTGCAGAGCTTTCTCCGTACATGAACCTAAGCTCCTGGATAAAGCATTTCCCACCTGTGTCTGCCTTTATTCATCCCTGTGGCTGCTTCATGAAATTGGGTATATTCCCGGCCAGGTAACACCTGACCTACCTTCCCATTTACGGAAACATCTCTACCCAGGAGACGCTTTACCTCTCATTCAACACCCAGGTTCAAGGTGAGGCTTGAGGGTGGTTTGTCAAGTTCCCTTTGAAGCCAGAGCAATGGAGACCAGTCAGGAGCACATGACCAAGATGAAACCACTCAAGGCCTCTGGGGTCTGAGGAGGGCAGACAAGAGCTGGGGGCTCAGAAGAGCAAAGCCCCCCATGTGGACCCAGCCTCACCATCTGTCCCACCCAGAGACAGGGCCGGCTTTCTGGGGGCACAGCGCCATGCACACCCACCGGGCCCTGCACTTAGAAGGGCCTCGCTCTTGGTGTAACTCTCGTAGCCGCCATTCGAATTTCTTAATATTCTGGAACATGTCCATTTGCATGGGGCCCTGTACGCAGCTGGCCTTGTCTAGACAAGGCCCAGTCATGCCTGTACCGCACGGGACTGCTCGTCTCACCCACAGGAAATGAGCCCTTGGGAAATGGGGATGGAAATGGACCCAGGCTGCTGGGAGGGGAGGGGCTGCAGGCTGTGGCTGAGTGATGGGAGGGGTGCTCTCATGTCTGGGGAGAGAAAAGGGAACTGCAAGTTCAGATTCAGCACCGAGTTTCTCCATCCATGTGATGCCCCGCTCCCTCCGCTGCCTACACTTTCTGACCTGCTCTGAGGACAGAAACAAGCAGAGACGGGGCCGAGAGAAGCAGAGGAGGGGACAGGGGAGCAGACCCTGGGTGAGGAGCCTGCAGCCCCCCGCCAGGTGCAGCCGGAGAGGCCAGCCCGAGGGACGGGGCCATGTGGCTGCCATGGGCTCTGCTGCTTCTCTGTGTCCCAGGTGAGCGGGAAATCTGCTCTGGCAGGTCAGGGTGAGCAAAGGGTGGTGATGGGCAGGGAACGCCACAAAAACACAAGCCAAGAGGGATGAGGTGTCATTATAAAAGCCCCGGCGCACCCTAGTTCCTCACTGGGATAGGATGAGGGTTAAGTGGGAAATGCTCTCCACACTGTGAGCACAGACGGAGCCCCAAGGAAGTCTAGCCATTGTAATCATTAGTTCCATCACTGTTAGGGTCAGGAAGACGCCAGAGAGAAGAGGGTGGGGGCGGAGAGCTAGGACTGTTGGGCTGGTGGCTGTGTTACCTGTCAAGGCAGAACGGACAGCAGCGGTTCCTTGCAGTGAGAGGACTCCTCAGGTGTCTAGAGTTTGCGTGACTCTCCAGGCAGGAAGCAGAGATTGTAGGGGCCTGCGTCCTCGTCATCTGGAACTGGAGCTTTCAGAGAGACTGGAGAAGAAAGGGCAATGCCAAAGCCTTAGAGGTGGCAAAGGACCTGCAGCTAAGGCTCAGGGCATGGCAAGGCTGGGGACGGGTGTGGGGGGGGAGGGGGGAGGAGGAGGCTGCCAAGGAGTAGGGGATGGAAGGAACCACTGGTGGGTCATCGATGTGGAGCAAGGAGTCCCTGAAGATATTCAGTGATGGCAAGTGTTGCTGCAGGAGTCTGTCCCAGGAGGGAAATCGAAGTCTTAATGTCCTTGAACCGTGGTCAAGAAGAGCCCCTTCTTAAATGGCCTCCTTATACCCTGGCCAACGCTCATCCTGTGCGACTCAGACCTATGAGCAGGAGGTCCTACCTGTACAAGCAGGGATTATAAACTCGGGGTCCACAGTGAGCTGAAGGCTTCCTCTTAGTTCCCAACACTGGGCTTTATCTAAATTTTCCTGTTCCCATTCTTATTTTCTGTTTCCTAGTCCATCTCTCCATCCATCCATCCATCCATCCATCCATCCATCCATCCATCCATCCCTTTATTCAGAGCATGCTTAGTAGCTTTATTCAATTCTAAGTAATGGATGGGACCCAGAACCTGTCTAGGACCACCAAAGCCTTCCTCTCCCCCTCACATTGTGAGTTGGTTGAACTCACACAGGCTGGTCATGACCTCTTGAGTCTCAGAATCCCATAACAGGTGTCTCCTTAGATCTCCTCCTGTGTCTGCCTATACCTTGCTGGTGCCTGCCCCCTCCTTCAGGCCTCACGGTGACTTCCAAAAGACCTGACACCCAGGGCCCCTCTGGCCCAGGCTCTTCCAGGGGAAGACGAGATGGATTGTGTTTTCCAGGCTCTTTGTCTCTGCGCGGCCCCAATAATGTGACGGGCACCGTGGGCGGATCCCTGAGCGTGCAGTATCGGTACCAGAAGGAATATGAGGCATTTAACAAATACTGGTGCAGACAGCCGTGCTTGCCACTTTTCTCTGAGACTGTGGAGACCAGCGCCTCCAGGAGAGAGGTGAGGAGAGGCCGAGTGTCCGTCCTGGACCATCCTGGAAACCTCACCTTCACAGTGACCTTGACGAACCTCACTGCAAACGATGCAGGAAAATACAGGTGTGGGATTTCCACGCTACTGATGGAAGAGGGGCTTCCTGGCTTCTTGCCTGAACCCTTTTCCCAGGTTCAAGTGTTTGTTTCCCCAGGTAAGGCCCTCCTTCCTCTGCTACCAGCGATGAAGGGGTCTGAGCGAATCTCCGCAGGGCATCCCAGGAAATTTCAACTCAGGAGAGGGAATGGGGCCTGGTGTTTGTGCACCAGAGATTCAGGACCAAGTGCGTTGTGTGTATGTGACTGTGTGTGAGTGTGTGTGTGAGTGTGTGAAAGCATGAGGGTGTGTGTGAAGAAAACGTGTGAAAATGTGGGTCAGTCGGAGTGCCAGTGTGTGTGTCAGGTGTGTGAGAGTGAATGTGGGTGGGTCACATGCAGGTTTCCTGCCACCACCCCAGGTCCTGACAATGTCTGGGGGTTGAGGTGGGAGGGCCCTGTGTCATTGGATCCATCAAGACTGAGGGCCTCATGCTACCTTCCTGACTTCACAGGGTGGCGTGTGTGTGCACAGGGTGGAGGCCACTCCAAAGGGACCCCCTTCACACTGTCCATTGGCTTGAGCTCTCAGGATTAAGACCTCTCTGCAACCCCAGGGCCCAGGGCCTCACCCAGGGTCCGCACAGGAACCTTGAGATGGTCTAAGGTCAGGGATGGCCCAGACTGCCAACCTCATCCCTCTGACTGGGGAGCCCTGCGCCAGAAATCCAAGGCCAGCCCCATCTCTCGCCCTGGCCTCACTAGCACCCATATTCTGGGCCTTTCTTCAGCCTCAGGGAAAGCCCATTTTCTGGAGGCCCTGGCCCCTGCGCTCTATGTAAATGGGGTTTGTTGGTGGGCGTGGCGAAGGAGGGAGCCCTCAACCCTCTGTCTGTCTGGCATCCTCCCCCTGCTTCTGCATCTTCTCCCTCCGACTCACTTGGCCAGGCAGGAGAGAGCCCAGTAAACCCCTGGGCCTGACAGGGCAGAAGAGAGATGGGGCACCTCTAACACGTTTCTGTTCAAATTGTTGCTTGATCTTTTAATAAGTCCTTTTACTTCTCTCTTTCTTTCTCTCTTTCTCTCTCTCTCCTTCCTCCCTCCCTCCCCCCCCCCCTCCCCCCCCCCGCCCTCCCCC